CGGAGGGACATGACAACAGGTTCTCGCCAGAAAAAAAAAACAGCAGCAGCTTACCTTTTACTAAAAATTTTTTAAAAAAAGTGGAAGCAAAAAAGCCGTCTTCGCAACGCTACAAAACGGCACATTGTGGGCAGCGTCTAATTTTATGCTCCCTTTTGGATTTCATATCAGTATACAGATTGATTAGTCCAAAAGTTTCTATTAATTCAAGGTTTGGGCACATCTGAACCCTTAAGGTAAGGTTTCATGCAGTGTAAGCACCTGAAGAGCCCGTTAAGCATTTTAGAGGCAAACAGCACGTTGTTAAGAAACAAAACAGCATACAGCTCTGGACTGTTTTTTTTAATCTGCAGTTCTTAACCGAAAAATCTCTTGCACAACTCCTCCTACGTTCCCCAGATCGTTGCTATGAGAAATTCACCGTCTGCTGGGTATAGATCTAGGGGGCCCTATGACATGTATTGTACCGAATGGCTGAATTAGCCATTCAGCGCTGGCAAGAGAGTAAAGTCCTTCCACCTGAGAATGTTGTCACAGCCGAGGTGTCGAATCCAAGGGCGAGAGACCTTTAATATTCCCCGTTTCCAGTCCCTGCTGGGGTTTAATGGGGTACTTTTCAAGAAAACCCTGCGCGTCTCGCCCATCGTCAACAGCAACAACAAAAATCTCGTCTCTAGGAAGGCACGTGGGCCGACTTCAGGACGGAGAGATGCCTCTCCCACTTATCAGCAAAAACCTGAAACGGGGTTTTACGGCCCAGAGCTGCATCTGCAAGACTGCTTAACGCTGCTGAGAAAAAACAGAGCCAGAGTATAAAACCACCAGGCCAAGCGCGCTTGCCAACGTCTTCTCCGCCATCTTGGAAAAGATGGCGCGTGTGGGGTGGTTTGAAGCTCATGGAAACCTCTAACATTGACCCAGACCAGGCTTACTTCTTCTCCAGCGCGTCCATGTACTCCTTCTTCTTCCTCCGGCTTTCCTGAGCGGAGATCTGTGGGGGTGGGAGAAAAAAGTCAGAATCCGCAAGTTTTCACTGGGAGGACTGGGACTCTCAATGGGGACTTTGTGTGAGAGAGGCTGGGAAGACTGGGACTGTCTATGGAGACCGTGTGTGTGTGAGAGAGGGGCACTGGGAAGACTGGGACTGTCTATGGAGACCGTGTGTGTGTGTGAGAGGGGCACTGGGAAGACTGGGACTGTCTATGGAGACCGTGTGTGTGAGAGAGGGGCACTGGGAAGACTGGGACTGTCTATGGAGACCGTGTGTGTG